CCCAAAACATCTGGAGGGTCGAGTTTGCCTATGCCTGGGCTAAAGAGTGCTGCTGGTGATGGAAGTAAGCATGTAGCGTTTGCAAAACCATTTTCCTCACAGGAGTGATTTGCAGAAACACTCTCATGGCTAAAAATCACAACGGGGTAAGTGACCCTGAATAAATCATTTGTCCTTCACTAGACTGATCTGAACTACAAAGTATGCACAACTCTTATTTATATCAGTTTCACGTGCTAAAAAAATATTTGAAAGGAGCCCCCTTAAGGGCAAAATCAGCTTTCATTTGTGTCTGTAGGCACCATAGTCACTGAAACACCCAGTGACAATCACTTACACAATATATCCATCCCAATAGTAGGATGGAAATCAGGGAGATATTTATGGAATTCCCACAACGTCCATTCATATAATAGGAGAAAATAATGGTCTTATTAACTCTGACATCAAAAGTAGTGTGTGTTTTCTTTTTCCATTAGTTTTTGGCACTCAGTTGCAGGCATTAGACTTCAGTACAAGAAGCCATAGGATTCATAACACTTATCAAACCATTTGCATTATATTCACTTTCAAATCCCAGTGATGTTAATTTTGTTGACAAGCAGTACATGTAGGAATAGGTGGTGGGGTTTTTTTAATGTTAGACTAAGGTCTAGCTTTTGGCTGCTTTTGCCTGCCTTGCTTGCATAATCCTAAAGGTCTAATGTTATTTAATTTTAAGTAAATGGTACACACACACACACACACACACACACACACACACACACAGAGTAATAATACAACTTCTTTCCTATAGGGAGGAATGAAGCATGTGTTTGCTTCAGGGAGTTTACAGTGACAGGATTTATCACAAGTTTTTTGAACCAGATAATTATGTTTGATAGCACATCTGGCAGCATCATAAAAACTTGAAATCCTAAGCTATTACACAGGAATTACTTTTGTAAATCATTTATGAATATTACCGATGTAAGCCTATTCTGCGTGTAGAAACAGTGACTCAAGGACAAAGAGGATGACAATGATTTCCCTTTGTCTTCGGGGCTCAACTGACTGTGTAACCGGCTCATCCTTTAAAGTCTGAGGTGCTTAATAAGCAGTTGAAAATAAGTGGATGCAACTCAAGACTAGTTTTCGTTATGCCCTAAAATATGCAACAAGGACACATAATTGATAGACAACGCAGGTGGCAGGCATCCCCTTTCCCCGTGGCATATCTTAAGTAAAACTTCGCTTTAAAGCGCTGCATTTAATTCTCACTGTAAAGCACACCTGAACATACAACAGGAAAACATATCATTAAAATTAATTATGACCGAAAGCCCTTACCCAAAGGGATCTAGGTAATCTATAACATTCACTTTCACTCCCAAAAAGGGGAGCTTTGTGTTCAAACTATTAAGAAATATTGCCTACACTTCAGTGGAGAGATTTGTAATTGCTCAGATGTTTGCATGGGTCTGTCACACACACAGGGAGCTAATGAATGTACTACGAAGTGTGTGTGAATCGTCTCTTTCTATTAAAATGAATGAGAAAGTCGTTCTAAAATGAGGGCCACCAAGCATCCATGAAAGTCTGACTCAGAACAGATCACTGGACTGGGGATTTGAAGGGTGGAAAGGTACCGAGACTATTTTTTAGCTACAACAGACGGCTGCCTATTGGTGGTTTCATTCATACCTACAAGATGAAAACTGAGATACAGTGATGGGCAAGTATCCGTCATTGCAAGGATATGTTTTTGAATATAGCATTTTAAAACAGAAGGTAAAATTTTAACATCTTACAAGAAATAAACATCACCAAATCCAGATATGATAAGGAAAGCATTAATAACTTCAAAACACATCATAAATCACCATTTAAACAAAAATTAGCACTCAACAGACAGTACCGATCCACCAATCTCTGACCTTCCTCAACAGTCTTAATAATAACCAATCTAAAAGGAAGCTCCCACTGGGAACAGAAATGTGGCATCCCTAGAGAGTCAGTGGACCAGACAAAGAGAGTGAGGGACGAGTGGGATGGAATATCACCAGGACCCAGCTGTATACCCTTCCTCAGCTGTATATATTGAACACCTGAAACTCAGTCCAAAGGGTGTTCAGTTGATAAAGAGAGGAAGTGAACATTAGTTCAATGATGGTGGGCAAGGTGAAGATTGTAGGTGCCATATTCAAACAAATACCTCCTCCAAAATCATTGGGTATCATATGCAGGCTTATTTTTATTTTCTAAATGCTGTGTTTGCATAAACTCTGCCTGTTTCTCAATTTTCCACAGACCCAGATATAAGATATGACTAGAGTATGGTTTTTTTTTTTTAAGCAGCAGCACCATTTTCATAGACTGAGGCAACAGACCTCCGACTTTCCCAGTACGACCCATGCCCTACTGATCACAAGAGGCCTAATTCTTCAAGTCCCCTCCTACATCATCTTCCCCTTTGCTTGCATCTTACTCAGAAAACTACCATTTCAATTTTTAAAACAAAACATGGATTTATATGATTCTAAAAATGTGACGGGTAGGATTCAGGCCCCCTGAGTACTTATTTTCAAACCTGCTTTGGTTAGATAGAGTTTTATTCCAAAAGAAGCACAGTGTCCCATCATGCATACTGTTAAATAAACCAGGAGGTTGATAGATACCAGCCTTTGCTTTGTTAGTGCTCTTCTTGGCCAACTAATCATTCTGGAATACTAATGTTCAATCTGACCACAGTGTTTCTTTTATTACTTTAACATTAATTGATAGCTCACCTTTATGAAAAGGTAATATTTTTCCTCCTATCGACCTTTATAACATTTTGACCAACCTCATAATTATTAAGTATTTTTCTAATGTTAACGTGAGATAAAAACAGAAGTTAAGTCATAAAGGTTGAGGTTAAGAAGTCAAACCCATTAGTATAATCGGTGGAACTAAATCTCCACCACAGATCTGTTTCTGTAGGCCACTTATGCTTCTAAAATTAATCTACTCAAAAGCGCTTGGAGGTGACTTGTGATAAGGCTTCTATTATTTGTCTGAATGATCAATGGGCTGAGATATCAGCAGGCTGCCCTTTCTATAGCCAGACATCGCATCAGAAAAAGAGGAAGCTTCACTCTGAACTTATACAGCAGGCATATAAATTTATAGAAATTAATTAAGAGAACAAACTAGTAACATGAATGTATTCCCACAATCGACTGTATATCTCAGGCATAGGCAAACTCGGCCCTCCAGATGTTTTGGGACTACAACTCCCATCATCCCTAGCTAACAAGACCAGGGGTCAGGGATGGTGGGAGTTGTAGTCCCAACATCTGGAGGGCCGAGTTTGCCTATGCCTGGTGTATCTGCTTGTGGAGAACTCATGGAGAAATCATGGTGGGACCATGTCAGCCTTCATAAGACCAAAGCCCACTGATAACCTTTCCCTAAAGACAACACATCATGGGGCAAGGAATAACAAGGTCACAAGTAACGTAGACAACCATACAACCCATTCAAACTCACTGATGCTAATCCTCTGATCTGGTTATTTAGGAACACAGCAGGCTGCCTTATCATCCCGCTCAGTATTGTAAACACCGACTGGCAGTGGCTTTCCAGGATTTCAGACTCAGCCCTACCTGAAGATGCCAGGGAACCCGGGACCTTCTGAATGCAAAGCAGGTGCTCTCTGACAGAGCCACACTGCCTTTCATTTTCCTTCCGGCACTTGCCAAGGCAATGAAGGAGGCGAAGGGGAGAACCTGTTCCCCTAAATCATTTCTACCAGCAAAACTGCTTCAGGATTAACAAAAGGATATATTATAGGCTCAGATTCTAGTGCCCTGGAGTCACTTTTACTAATAAACAAAGATGTGGCTTTTCAGGCAGAGCTGCTCAAAGCCTAAGCAATGGACTGCTGCATAGGCAGTAGGTAATTTGGCGCCATTCCACTATTGTTGAACTACACCTCACATTAGGCCCAGCCAGCATGGCTGATGTTCAGGAATGGTGGGAGTTAACAGTTCAGCAACATTTGTAGGGCACAACACTGGTGCCCTTGTAAGAGCTTCTTCTTTGAGCCCATCCCCTCCAAAACTAGCTAGTAGGGAGCCTCCTTTCAAGCAATATAAAATGTCATGATACTGTGCTGTCTCGGTCTACTGGATTATATATATTTACTGGAAACGGGGCATTGTTCTTTTGAAAAGCAGCATTAATTAACTTTTACAGAATTAATGCTACTAGGACTACTGGACTTGATGCTTTGTGCCCAATGTGGTTGGGAATCTTAGACTAGGACCAGGAGATCCCAGTTCGAATTCCATTCATCCATGAACTTCATTCAGTGTATTTAGACCCGTCAGTATCCTTCAGTTTACTTTGCCTCACAGGTTTGTTGTGAGGTTCATAGTATTTATTTATTTTTAAATAGTTGTAGCCAGTCTTTCCTCATGGTTTCGAGGTGGCTTACAGAAAAAGTAAAAACAAAAAACAGCACAAATAAAAACAGCAATATATTAAAGGAACAAGAAAAACAACAACAACCAAAGCTGGCAATAACAATTTCAAAGCAGCTGCGGAGGCACCGAACATCATAAAAATGCAACGTAAAAAATTCAGAAGGGCGCCGCATGATTATGACTGGCAAGAATTTTTTTTAAAAAAACAGCTTCAAAGTGGTTTTGGAAATAAGAAGGACTTCATGCTATCATGGAAGGCCAACAAGCAGAAAAGTAATAAATATATCAGAATAAATCTGCAGGCTAAGCAAGGGTTATCTGAAGAAGCAGACATCATCACACCTACAGAAAAACATACCCTATTGTTTTGCTTTCTGATGGATTCCTAGGCCAAAGCATCTATTGCAAATGGTTTGAGAAATGAAATATAAAATTTCAAATAGATACACATGGCTGCTTTCTGTAAATTGTTTTTAAAAAAAATAAGATTAACAACAAGCCAACTTGCATGACCTTCAATGCAGGAAGCATGAAAGAAGAATCAGAACTTACTTGCTGGTGATGGGGTGCTGCAGCCGCTGGTTGGCGGGTTGCCTTGAATGCCATGCAGAGTTGAAAGGGAGAGTCCACCAATGACAGGAGGGAAAAGTAACGGGTACGGCGGAGCTGGGTAATGAGTCATGTGTCCATTGACTGTTGGTACAGGACACGTACGGCTGCTGGTAGACATGGTGATGCCTCAAAACAGTGGAATGCTCAGGACCATTACTCCGCAGAAGAAAGGAAGGAGGGTATCAAGTCCGGCGATGCAGTGTGAGAAAGTAACTCATCAGATGATGCTCTTTTTTTCCTCACTGCTGAATTCTTCCAGTCATCTTCCTGGTACATTCCTGCTGTGATGGCAAATCTCTCTCGAGCTTCTTCTTTTGAAAAAAAATAATGTGATCACATATAGGAGACTGTTCAGTTCCAGTATCACACCCTTTTTCTTCTTCCTGGAGTGGAAGTTTCACTCTATAGGCGGTTGCTGAAGTATCCTGTAGCAAGAGGAAGGAGGAAGCAACCAGAAATAAATAAGAAAGCCTAGCAACTTTGCAAATTAATCCCTTGATTAATCCGTTTCCATGAGCTGCTGAATTAAGCCAGGATCCAGCAGACCCTTGAGTGAAAGGGAAGGAGAAAAAACATTCTCCACACAGGTGATTCCATGATTCTATGAACTGAGATGTGTAAAATGTTACTCAAGTCACTCAGCGTTTCATGACCGCTGAGCACATCCAGTTCTCCTTAGGCTGTTGGTGTCCCCTCTAGAATTCTCCCCTCAAAAGTATTGATATTTCTACCAAAAAGACACCACACTAAAACACCACTACAGTGGTACCTCAGGTTAAGTACTTAATTCGTTCTGGAGGTCCGTACTTAACCTGAAACTGTTCTTAACCTGAAGCACTACTTTAGCTAATGGGGCGTCCTGCTGCTCTGTTCTCATCCTGAAGCAAAGTTCTTAACCTGAAGCACTATTTCTGGGTTAGCAGAGTCTGTAATCTGAAGCGTATGTAACCTGAAGCGTATGTAACCTGAGGTACCACTGTATGTCATATTTTCCTCTTGGCATAGTGGGACCAATGTAAACCTAAAAGAAAAAATCTGCACAAATAAAAGACAGATCCTACCCCACAAAGAGGTCACACATATACTGGCCTCAGCCCAGTACACCTGAAGGAGCATCTCCACCCCCATCGTTCTGCCTGGACACTGAGGTCCAGCTCCGAGGGCCTTCTGGCGGTTCCCTCCCTGCAAGAAGTGAGGTTACAGGGAATCAGGCAGAGGGCCTTCTTGACAGTGGCACCCTCCCTGTGGAAGGCCCTCCCCTCAGATGTCAAGAAAATAAACAACTTCCTGACTTTTAGAGGACATCTGAAGGCAGCCCTGTTTAGGGAAGCTTTTAATGTCTGATGTTTTATTGTATTTTTGATATTCTGTTGAGATCCAACCAGTGTTGCTGGGGAAACCCAGCCAGATGGGTGGGGTATAAATAATAATAATTGTTGTTGTTGTTATTGTTAGTTGTATCATCAACAACCACTATTAGCAATGATACTTCATTCTGTTTCCCCTCCCTGTTTTTTTTCTCGTTCTTCTCCCCACAACAGTCAGGTAGCATTCCATGGCCTCCGAGCATGGTCATTCCTCCTTGGTCTGCTTCTGAGTCAATAAATAAATTATAAAAACACTGTAGGGTTTTCTTGACTAATGACAGACCAAAACTATCTTGCAAATCTTGGGGTTCCCCTGAGTCTGCTGATGCCTCCCCACTGGTGCGATTTTGACTACATAAGCAATGACACTCGTCTCTGAACATCAGTAAAAAGAGCATACGATAACATAAGGCACTGATCACACCCCACTTGGGATATTATTTCAAACATGAAAGCTGTGAACCAATTCTCAGAGTCATTTGACAGCCAATCCCTCTTCCCAGGGATCTCTGATAATTGTAGTTTTATGAGGGGAGCAGGGATCTCCTAACAACTCTCAGCACCTTTAACAAACTATAACTCCCAATATTAGGGGAAGCCATGATGGTTAAAAGAGTTATGATATCACTTTAAATGTATGGTGCAGATGAGGTCTATTTGGGGATAGAAGGTTCAGGGATAGAAGTTTCAGTGAAACAAAAACAGCAGCAAATCAGCTCTGCAACAATAAAACCAAACGAGAAATTAGGTGATGATGGGCAAACATCCGAATGTAAAAATTCTGTATTTTGTTTCACTTTTCCTTTTCATCGAACTGAAGTGCGATGAATGTACTGTGTGTTTTTTTAATCTATGGTGCTGAAAAAGAGGGGCCTGTTAGGATCGAAACCTAATTTTTTCTCCTAAGATTGTCAATTTGTCCCCCCTCTAAAGCATCAGCCAGGACCACCCTGGAAATGAGAAATAGATTAGATAGCAACAGGAACTCAAATGAGCAGTAATAACAAATTAATGTGAATCTGCCTCCCTGCCTGCCAAGTTACATAGATGCAGAGTGTTCCTCAGTCGGGAAAAGTACCAAAGGTTATTAGCTGCATTAAGTCCAGTAATGCTGTCTGTGGAGCTCTTCACATTTATAGATACAGCTGAAGTATACAATTATCTTCTACAGATTCTAGAGCCCAGTAATCATGTAATGATGCAGGCGTATCTTTAGGATTAATGGAGGCCCAACAGATGCTCAAGGAAGCTCACTAGCCCTATTCAGTTGTTACTTGCTCATACAATTAATGCTAATATGAGGGGAAGAGAGAGCTAGAGGCCTTGCCTCACTGTTGGGTCTTCACTAGCCTTGCCTCCCCATTGTCCACACACTGGGGAAGAACGTGTGGTGAGATCCCAGGGACTCCAGCAGACTTGCAAGCCGGACTTCCAAACAGCAAGCAATGTGAGAGCAAAGATAGGCAGGTTAACCAAGTTGATCAGCCAGGTAAGCAGGCACAGTTGTAGGAAGACAAGCAGGCCAGGTGCCAAGAGGAATCGGAAGGAAACGCAAACCAAAGATTAGCTGGAGGATTAAACCAGCAGCACCCGCTACCTGAAGAACTTGAACTTCAGGTGCATGCCTGGATTACCTAGGATGTATATTAAACAGTTCCATACCCACCACCGTTTCTCCAATGAAAATAGGGATGCCCTATTCCACAAGAATAAGAATACATTTATTATTTATACCCTGCCTATTTGACTGGGTTGCCCCAGCCACTCTGGGCAGATTCCAGCATATATGAAAACATAATTTTTTTAAAAAAATAAATCCCCACACAGGGCTGCCTTCAGATGTCTTCTAAACGTTGTATAGTTACTTCTCTCCTTCACTCAGTGGGTGTGGTGTCACATAACCATACCCTCCAACATTTCTCCGATGAAAATAGAGACGTCCTAAGGAAAAGTTTTTGAATTACGGTGCTGGAGGAGACTCTAGAGAGTCCCATGGACTGCAAGAAGATCAAACCTATCCATTCTTAAGGAAATCAGCCCTGAGTGCTCACTGGAAGGACAGGTCCTGAAACTGAGGCTCCAATACTTTGGCCACCTCATGAGAAGAGAAGACTCCCTAGAAAAGACCCTGATGTTGGGAAAGATGGAGGGCACAAGGAGAAGGGGATGACAGAGGACGAGATGATTGGACAGTGTTCTCGAAGCTACCAGCATGAGTTTGACCAAACTGCGGGAGGCAGTGGAAGACAGGAGTGCCTGGCGTGCTCTGGTCCATGGGGTCACAAAGTCGGACATGTCTAAACAACTAAACAACAACAAGGAAAAGCAGGACATTCTGGGATCAAATCAGAAACCAGGACAGCTTCTGTAAATCCAAGATTGTCCCTGGAAAATAGGGACAATTGGAGGGTCTGAAGTCCTAGCAGCTGGTCACTGAGAAACATGGGGTTGAGCCTGTTCACTAAAACAAGGCCAGAGAGGTCCAGCTAAACAACAGAATTCTAAAAAGATGCTTGTTGTCTACCTTTGAGGACCACATGGGAAAACTATTGATGGATCTTCCTGGCAACTAAAGAGTAGTAGGAGACTTAACATTTTAAAATGTTGATTGGTAGCCTCATTAAATCAATGAGACTGAGATGACAACCTACACATATTCAAAACAAAGGAAGAGAGTGGGGGAAATATACATATAAAGCAATTTCACTTGATAATAGAAATGAATGATCCTTGCTAACTTGCCATAGAAGAAGGCCATGCTCTAACCATAAGTTCACCACACCTTGGTACCTAAAAAGCGAAGCAGGTATGTGGTGGAAAGATAGCATACCAAACAAAGTCATCTCTACATTCAGTGAAGTTGCCCGAGTAAGAAATGTGGCTTGTGGCATTTAATCAATGAAATTTACATCAAGGTCACCTATTCTGAATGATCAAGAAGTCCTGAAATAAATAAAAAATGCTGCTTGTGAAACAATCATATTTCCAACTGCATTTCTGTTAGCCACAAACATGCAGAGCTAAGCACAAATTATCAAAATGTGCATAGCCAGTGGCTTTTTCAGCTACTTCAGAGGGAGGAGAAATGTCCCTGGGTTATGATCTATGCAGGCAGCACCTCCTGCACATCTGAATTTTAAAAATATTGTCTCTCTTTCCTTTTCTCCACATTCAGTACAAAGCACCAAGGTAGCATGTTTTAAACTTGTGCTGTCAAAGCACAAATAAGAGATCAAAAGAGATGATCTCAAATTCTTACATGTGTTAAGATATAATTCAAAAAAGGCTTCTCAAATTTACAACTAATTGGAGGACCCCTCTTGAAAGCAAGCGCTAACACGGCATGATTAACAGCAGTCTGCCCCAGCAGTTGCTTATGTTCAGCAGTCAGCATGCGAATGCTTCCAACTTCTGCGCTATGTGGAATGAAGGAAATGGAAATCGGACTATGAGTAGACTTTTGTACTTATCCTTTGTTAGTATTGGATACACAATCAAGTCTTAAAGTGGAAGAAAACCACACTAAAGAGAATGTTTCTGGACCCCCTCCCCTTACAGTCTCGAAAATAGAAAGTGCAAGAAGGCTTAGATTCAGGACCTAGCATGGATGGGCAGATGCCAGGTCCCAGGAAGGCCAATGCGAATGACATCAGACACCAACATTCCCTTTTCTTTCTTTTTAACTCTTTACTAGGCATGCCTGCAGCTGCCCACCATTTTCATCACCCCAGAATGCCTCTGGATTCTGCTACGTCAGAGCCACGGATTCATTCTGGGGGAAAGAAGGTGGCAATCAGCTACCACCCAAGTAAAAATATAAAAGAAAGGACTCCTGCTTATTGCACCTGGTAAGTTTACTGGAATAAGGGGACTGGGTGGTCCCAGGGGTCACCATTCTTAGGGTCACCTCAAACCTGGAGCTGACTTTGGGTGCAACCAGTTTCTACCAAATGTACAAGCTCTTCTCCATAACTCTTTCCACACTAATCACAAATGCTGGAGTGCAACATTCGCAGACTGACTTGTTTTCTAGGTGCAGAATGAATAGGCCTGCCTCTTCAATTCAGAATTAAGACATCATTTCATTCTGTGATAAGTAAGGAAGTGAGAATGAAAGAGGCAACTGTGACTATACATAAGATTACTTACCAGGGTTCTGGCATAGAGGGGAGGGTTGTTCGTTTCTGTATGTCTTGTTATATTAAGTTTCAATTTTGTGACTTTATACAGTATGCATAGCATAGAAAAATCAATTATATATTTTTAAAAAGTAATTAAGTAGTAAATGTCTTCCCCTCTCACCTGGTGACACCAGTATCTCCAGAGTCTGAGTGGTTCAAATTTCAAAAGAGGCTTGCTCCACCCAACAAGTCGATTCTTCAGCCTGCTCTACAAGGTAAAAAAAAAGGGTAAACCAGATCAGTTTAAAGAAGACTTGCATCTCTGATGACATGAATCATTGTGTTTGGGCTGGAACAGTAAAGTATCCAGAATGCCATAATGATGCAGAAACCTTGGGACACAGACCTGACTGGCCCCAAGTTATGGGAAAGGCTGAACAGCTCCTCTCTCTATACTCCTCCACACCATCTCCCTCAACCAGACATCCATCCTACATATTGGACCTTCATGTTACTGAAATTGAGTTTAAGCTTATTGGCCCTCATCCAACCTATTATAACCAGATCCAAGCACTGAGTCAGCACTTTTACAACCTTGCTAGACTCTGATGACTAATAGATCCTGGGTTACTTATTAACATCTGCTGCTTTCTGGTCCAGTTTGGCATGATGCTCTATTTGTACTTCTCAAGGGTTGTTTCGGACTAGACATACTTCAGCACTGTCAAAAGACAAAGTCGCAAGTGACATCTCACTTAGGTCAAGAGGCGATATTACTCTTTGGGGACATAAAAAGTGGATTGCGTAACTGAATAAACTTCCTACAGTTGTAAGCACACTTCCGCCAAAGAACATTATATTGAATTAAATGGGGCTTTTTACAAGGATTGTAATAGCGGCGTAAGAACAATTGCTCAAGAACATAAATTACTCATGGAAGCTGTGAGGTCTATTTCTCTGGAGGTTTAAAATGACAGGCATGGCTAAGTGTCTGCCATAAAGTTAAGTATACAGCCCACTTCTCTGGAGCAAGGGGAACGGCCTAATGTTCCCTTCCATCAGTATTGCTATGATCCTGGGGAGTTACAGATTCCAATTCTGGGGAATTGTAGGTGGATGTGGACGAAATTTAAATGATACCGTGCCTACACAGATATCTCTGAAAATAAAGACGGGCAGCAGAGATGGCAGCAAATGACTATAAATTAAATTAATAAACTCCTTGAGCAGCAGCAAATGAGCTGTTCTTTTCCACACCACTGCACCAAAGATGGTTCTGAATGTAATGTTATTTTCCAGGAGATTTTATGCATAATTTATTAAAAAAAGTGTAGTAACAGAGAAACAACAACGAAATAAAAACCCAAAAGCAAAAGGGGGGGGGGACGACACTAGTGACTCGTATATATTTTTCGCCAACAAGAAAGCAGCAAAATATTAGTACTCTTCTTCAGTATTTCCATAAAACCAGAGAAACATAGACAAAGGGCGTGCAATACGCTATTTCACTTGGTAAATGTTTCTACCGTGTTCTGAAGCTGGTAATCTCTTCCCTCATTCCCATTCTCTCCGATGCAGTGCCTTACTGCAAGAGGCTGATTCAACAGAAAGTACGGTAAGTACAGACACTAAAAGGAAAAGAGGGTATGGCGTCTGTGAGGAAAATGAGGCCTGAATACAGCCTGGGCTCCTGCAGAAGGTTGGTGCTGGGTCAACTGGCACAAGTCAGTTAGTGCAGAAGACATTGCATTCCTAGTTGGTATCCTGTGGATTAACTGGACTATTGCCCTTGCTACCTGGTACTCAAAAACAGTCTCTACATTTCAGATCTTTGCACTCAAAGACACAGAAGGCTATAAATAGGAGAATGGTAATGAACCACTCCTTGCAGGACTGTTCTCACACGAGTAATTTGAAGCCCTAACTAGAAAGACAATATTTAAAAATTCCTTCCACCTTAGAGACCAACTAAGTTTGTTACTGGTATGAGCTTTCGTGTGCATGCACACTTCTTCAGATACCATGAAAGAAAGATAACGTAGAGCAGTGATGGGGAACCTCTGACCCATGGACCAACCTGGGCCCACCAGAGGGCCATTTTCCCCAAACTGGCCCATCAGCTGATGGACAAGAGGGCAGTGTTTAATCTTGGATTGGCTGTGTGATCCTGTTCCCAGTAGGGAATAAGACCACACAGCCAAGGCAGCAGGATTTAATCCATTCATCATCTCCATCCCTGTGCAAAAGTGCTATTTGAAGCAGCTCACATGCAAGAGAATCACTTCAAAGAGGCTTTTGGAAATGCTTTAAGGCACTCCCAGTGCTGCTTGCTCAGATGGGAGAGCGGGGGCAAGTCTTCCCCCTCCTCCTTTAAGTCCCTTTTAAGTTTTAAAAGAGAAGCGTAGGGAGACTCAGAAAAGGCTTTGCAAGGTCTCCTCCCACATCACTTTTAAGTCTTCAAGATTGAAGACTCAAAGGGAATGGGGGAGACTCACAATGCCTTGACAGTCCGTCCCCCCTCCACCTTTAAGTCCCCAGACTTGAAGACTTAAAAGGGAAGTGCAGGAAGACTTGGGAAAGGTTTTGCAAGTCTCCTCCTGCTTCCCTTTTAAGCTTCAGAGAATAGAGTATAAGGGATTTTGACAAATGGGTGCCCCTGCTCCCCTGTCAAATTTGGTCCACAAGACAGATCCTGAAGGTCAAAAAGCTTCCCCATTCCGGGTGTAGAGCTTATCACTTTTTCTCCAGTGGCCACAATTTATCCCCAACAACCATGGCTATGATAGTTCACAATCAACTTTATTGAAACAGATGTGCCTTTTGTGGATAAACAATAAACCAAACAATATTTACGTTGTATTTAATGTTCCACGTGACGAAGAAATTATGTTGTCAGTTTCTCCACAAATCATATTTGAGTCTGTGAGATTGCATACTGTTTTTATTGTTCAAAATGAAGTAACTGGATAAGCTAATTATGGTGGGAAAGGGTAAAAAAAGGAACGGGGGTTGGATATTGTCCTTCAGAGTGTTATGTTTCCTTTATTAGCATAGCTCAATGAAACTAAACAGAAAGAGCAATCTAATAACAAACATTCTTTGAGGGCTGTTAAGGGAGCAGAAGGACATCCAGTTATTGTTCAGCCCATCCCATTGGTCCATATATGGCTCAAAAGGTACAATAGAAGGAAACAGGAAACTGAATGGTCCATCTGCATTATCTTATTAGCGGCTAATGGATATCTGAGAGGAACACACATCTAATTCTGAAAGGTCTGTACCAATCTCCTAAGTAATAACTCTTAATTAGCAGATTCTGTTTATAGATGGAACTTAACATACCCTTTTGTCTCAAAGAGATGCAGGCATCTGGAAGGAGATATGTGCTTCTTGAATAAAAAATAAGAAGTGGGTATTTTTCTCATTCTCAAATAAAAGCTACTATAAATAACCAAAACAAAATCTCAGGCTAAAAGGAGAGAATGTGCATTTGAACTAAGACTACAAGGGTCAAATATGTACCAACCAGCCTGAAAGTTAGTACTTATATAAGGACTTAACATTTTTTTAAATAAGAAAACTGATGGTTTCATTTTTTTAAGATGTCAAAATCATTTGTAATAAGCCCTATTACAAATCAGAGCAATAGCTGGCTTTAAATATGCTCAAAACCTCCCTTCTCCACCCTAATGCAACAGGGGTGGCCAACCCCCAAGAGACTGTGATCTACTCGCAGAGTTAAAAACTGGCAGTGATCTACCCCCTTTTGGGGGGGGGTGCAGGGCAAAAATGTTGAGTTTTTTTAGAGCTTCTTTGGGGGGAGCCGGTGATCTACCAGTGATCTACCACAGACGTTCAGTGATCTATCGGTAGATCACGATCTACCTGTTGGATGTGCCTGGATTATATGAATTAAAAGGGAGGCAATATCATGAATTATTTTACAGAAGGCAAGTCTGCAGTTCACATAGACTCCAAATGGATAAATTACCAAAGCAGAGGAGCATGTGCTAAATATTTTAAGTACACTTATATAATCAAGACTGATCCAATACATTCTGCTGCGTAAGGCACAAGAGCAAATTCTGTCCCAATCTCAAGGCAGGACAGAAACTCTAATAACTGCTTCACAAAAATATAATAGTAGCAATAACAGTAACAATAATAAACAACCCTTTGCTTCCCATTCATGACAACCAAACCCAGCTGCCTAGGCAGCTGCCCCACTCTACCTAATGGTTGGGCCAGCAGTTCTGATTCTAGCACTCTGACATGGTTACAGCAGTTTGGCATTTGTGAACCATGAAGCATCTTTGCAAGTACTAAGAAATTTATTTTTTGTCAAAATTATTGACACTTGCTAAGGTGGGTGGTTTGTTGTTTTTTTTTAATTTGCTTGCCTAAGATTAAAATCTTTCCAAAGTGCTTATGCTTCAAATTGATTGCATCACAGAAAACGGCATACTAAAAAATCAGCAAACCTAACATGAAAAATGACAGGCAAAATGACACTAATTTATCTGAGTTTGCTCCTTAGCCCTAAGATATGCTGTGCCAGAAAAATACATACTTAACCATGTGACATCCAGACACAAAACATGAGGCTATACTTAAGCTGCAAAAATGCAATGATGAAGGCACACGCAGATGCTGATCAAGGATTTAATGACTGCTAATCAAAACGGTTTTTATACATAGATTTAATTTGTATTTTAAAATAATTTGAAAAGACAGAAGACTGAGATGTAAAGATGTGCTAAATCTCATAAAGTGGTTCTCAAACTTAATCTATTCCAGGAGTCCGTTGAACTCCCAAAAGTGTTCGAAAACCAAGGTGTGGCCTCCAAATGGCTGCAGGAGCTTCCTGCACTCAACTGGAAGTCACGGATGTTCAGCTTCTGAAAAAGGTCTGCAAACCGGAACACTCACTTCCGGGTTTGTGGCATTCGGGAGCCGATTTGTTCGGGAGCCAAGCCATTCGAGTACCATGATAAAGCTAAGACGTAATGTACTCAATAATGGTCCGACATATAAGATTCCACAAACAGCACAATGAGTCTGATGGCTTTATCCAATGAAGTTGTCCCATTTATGCAAGGGTTTCCACTTATGTAATAGAACTTTCCCTCTGCCCCCTCCCCAACATCCAAAACTGCTCTGGAGTTCCCCCAAGTCCCCCAAAGCAGATTTTGGGGAGGTGGGGCACATGAAGACAGGGTAAGATAGGATAGAAGAAGTTCCCTAGCTCAAGCAAAACTACTTGCTGAA